CTAGGTTTTGAATGCAACCAATCAAGCTCAGAGAATTTGTGGAACTCGATTAAAGCCTTTACCTGTGTGTGTGTGTGTGTGATCTTGTTCATAGCAGAGACAGCTGACCACTGTGCTGTTCAAATACTCCAAGAAGATTACATCTGGCCTTGGAGAACTTTCGTGAAGATAAAGGAAATGACAGGTGTGAGGCTGTTTACAGAACAGTATTCAAATACTCATTGTGATTACTTCCCATTCCTGGAAGCTTCCTGACTTTCTGTTGCCTCTGCCTACGCCCTTTGTTAAGAAGCCCGTTACAGCACAATTCTGCCTCCACCCTTTGCACCTTCCTCACTTCTTCCTGCACTGGTATCATCTAGGAGGTTAATTGCATGCACCTCTCTAGATTGGTCCTTAGGAGTAGCTTCGTGGTCTTCTTTGCTTACTTTTAATAATTACTTGTTGGTTTTACCTACTTACGAGATTGCTTAAAGATGATTAACGTATGGTCTCTTGCTGGGCTACATACGTTCTAGCCATTTAATTAAATTTTATTAGATCGATACATTGAACTCACCCAAGGAAAACTGCACTGAATCCAGGCAATGCCAGCGCCAATCCCTGCCTCCAGAGCCCAAATGTCATGTCAGAATACAGCTATTGCTCGGACACCCTGGCTCAAATAGTCGATTTACCACCTTCCTTCTGGCCATTTCCACCCCCAGGCATACTTAGGCAACCTCAAAAGCTGAACTACACCTCGGGCTCTCATTTCAGTGCAATATTACTTTTGGGCAGGTTTCCAAAAGAAATTAATGTAAATCCAACTACAAACTGCTGATTGTGCAAGGTTTTTCCATCCCAAGACCACAGTTATCCTTCAAATACAATCAATAGGTGAATTACTAGCACATTTAGAATATAATTGCTTATATGTTAGGTGATTTAATTATTTCAAGAACTTCAAAATAGTATCCCAAATTAATAAGGCCCTGTTTAATACTCAAATAAATCTTCGAGGCCACCACTGAAACTCAGTTTTGTGTCCGCTGTGACCTCCAAAGTCCTTTACCTGATTATTCCAGTAAGAGCAAAAATTGTGCAAGTAAATTTTCTAGGATCATCTCAGAGTGACCAAAGGTCTAGTTCCATTCAAGATGCATGTAGATGAACTTTGCTCTAGAGAAGAATTAGAAATTATAAGAGCGCTCAAAAAAAAAAAAAAAAACCTCACACAGAGAATACAACATCCAACTATTCAGGGAGAGTTATTTGATACTAATAGACTTTGCAATGCTTATGAAGAAAATTTTTTAAAAAACAGCTGCTCAAAGTGTCCAAGGACTTAAAAAGGAAACAGCCCTGTGGTCTGCAGGGGAACTTGAATTACTTCTAAATAGGAAAAGTTGGCCAAAATAGTAGTCAGGAAAATTGCCTTCAAAATCATTTATGGCACTGTGCCTTCCCTGTGGCTGTATTTTGAACTTAATTTGTAAACAGGTTACAATCCGCAGCTTATAAGGAACATCATTAATAAGACACCGTCCTTTGGGTAATGGACTCGTGCCAAACAAGAGCAGAGTACTATTGGGAATGACACAGAATTTCAAAATGTGCACTTTCATCGTCCTCCTGACTCCAGCCCTTTGTGGCTGTCTCTACTGAGTGAGGAGCTAATCACAGAGCTGGTAAAATCCCATCAATGCCTGCAAAAATCCTTTCCTCAGGGATGGAGTTCTACTGGACCCAAGCCAAGATGATAATCCACAAGCAAAAAGACAGGATCATAGTATTAACCTGTCAATTATTTGCTGTAAACTGAACAGTTGACACAATAATCATACAATAATAATTACGCTATTATAGTCACTAATGCAGTCACACTAGATTGCTGACAATATAGATAAAGGAAAAGAAATACTACTTACCTTGGCCACCTACGAAGTACAAGAACTAACGTTTCTGTCATCCAGTGTGGTACTCGCTTCATCTCTTCAGAATGTTCTTCAAAATAAGGTAGTTATTTAAACTCAGATCTAACTACAATTCTAGGAACACTGCAACAACTACACACATCTGTGTGCAGGTCTTATCACCTTCATTGCCCTCTTATATGTATTTCCTTCAACGTACTTATTTCTGTGCTAACCACATTATTTATATATGTACCTGTTAGGTACCGATGTATTTTTTTTACCAGTGTATTCTTAATTGAAACTTAAATTGCATGCAAACATGACTTTTCATTGTTCTACTGAGCATCCCATCCGACATGCTATAGGAGATAAATAAAGTTAAACTTCTTAAGCTCAGCTGCCCGCACAGTCACTTTTCGAACAATCTATTTTAACACTGTGGGAGAGCCATGGGTAAGTCCCTGTAGAAACAATAGTTAACATTTCAAGGGCCTAACCTTATTTCCAAAAAGGATATCAAATTATCTCCATGATGGAGAAGTTTATTTTCCTCCCAACCATGTGTTGATTTTACTGAAATTTAACCATTAATTTATTCATTTCTTGTTCCCACTGCATTCCAGTTTCCTTGATGCTCGTGCATGGACGGGGAGGAGAAAATCAGATGCGGTTTCCCTCACAGGAGCAGAATTCAGAGTGTGAACAACACACAAAATGGAGGCCAAGGAAAACCTGAACGGGACAGAGCGCCTCTCCCAAACAAATAATAAGGGAAGCAGCCTGAAGGCAAGATTCCCAAAGGGACCTGTGGTCAGTTCTGTGTTTGATGCTCTGCATCATGATAGCAAGGGATGCTTAACAGAGGATGAGAAGAGGAGGGAGAATCAAAACATTTGTCTGCAACCTCACTGCGATTCCCCTCTGCTTCCCATTCTTCTCGTCTTCCACCTCCTCCTCTTCCTTCCTTTCTCTTTCTTTCTTTCTTTCTTTCTTTCTTTCTTTCTTTCTTTCTTTCTTTCTTTCTTTCTTTCCTTCTTTCTTTCTTTCTTTTCTTTTTCTTTCTTTCTTTCTCTCTCTCTTTCTTTCTTTCTTTTTCTTTTGTTCTTTCTCTCTCTTCCTGTCTTCCTTCCTTCCTTCCTTCCTTCCTTCCTTCCTTCATTCCTTCCTTTTCTTCCTCTTCCTACCCCTTCCTTTCTTTTTCTTCTTCATGCCTGGAACTGAATCCAGGGCCTTTGCACTGAGCTACATCCCCAGCCCTTTTTTTAAAAAATTTTTCATTTTGAGACACAACCTTGCTGAACCACTAATTTACCTAGGCTGGGCTCAAATCTGTGATCCTGCTTCCTCAGCCTCCCAGAGTCTTAGGATGACAGGTGTGCACCACTGCACGCAGCTTTATATTCTCTTGGCATAAAATGGCAAGCTCATCAAATAGGGAAACTCGTCAAATACGCCCATCGCTGCTTTGAGACTTAAAATATACAAGGAATATAGCAATGTGTGTGCAACACAGTTGCCCTTAACAATAGCTTGCTCATTCCCTTCACTCAAATAACGCCTAATATTTTCACTTAGTTCAGTATTCAAGACAATCAATATCCTTATAATTCAAATCTATTATTTATCCTATAAATCTTTAGAAAAATGCTACCTATTTTCTTTTAGGTTATTTCATTTTTAAACACTAGAAATAATCAGATGGCAGTGAGCTTCAAGGGGGTTATCAAGGAAGGGTGCAAAGGAATGAATTACTTAAAATTGTCTACAAATAGGCAGGAATCCATTCACTGAGAAGGTCAGGCTTATTATGTCCCTACTTTAGTTATTACCTCTTCCAAGTTTGAGGACAAATTGTTATTTGTCTCATTAATCTTCTTACCAGGACACTGAGCAGTTGGTGTGACCCCCTACGACACCATCACAGACCTTAGCTGACCTCCTCAAATCCTTTTGTCTTTGAGTAGAAACAACACCATCTTAATTTGCCTCCCATCCTTCCTGGAAGATCCTTATCTTCTAATATCCATTACACAAAGTAAACCACACCTCATTTAGTGCAACATCTCTGGAAATTTTAATTGCCACCAACAATTGCAAACTTGATCATTTTTAATAGTTTAAGTCCTGATTATACAGTTTTCTAGGCTTTGTAGGAAAAGGTTGTTTCTTCTGAATGAGACATTCACATAAAACTTAGAACATACACTCACTCCCAAAAGACAGGTGCTCCAGGATCAAGTATTAATGTATGCTTAAATTAGGGGAGCAATAGCTCCAGATAATCCGTGGTGGTGCGAGGGGACATTTTGTGAGAAATGTAAGTTCGGAGTGTACAGTCAGAACAGATTCACACAGTGGAGTGTAGCAGTATAAATGAACTGATACTTTCTGTGTACGTAGAACATTGCTGCTGAAACATACTAGTACATATGAGAAAAGGGTCCAACACTTTTGGTGTTATCATCTAAAAGGGCAAAGTAAATCAGCAAGACTACACATAAATTCCTTGTCTATAGCCATAAGCATGGGAAGACCTGTGTTTTATTTGAAGAAAGTAAAACTGAGAGTTGGAAGAAAGATCAGGATTTAAATTTTGTAGCTGAAACTCTAAGATGTGTACCCTGAAAACATAGGCTAGTCAATCTCTATTTGCTTCAGTTTACTTCCTTGTAAATTGGAGACAGTAATATTGAAACTATCCCTTTTCATACAAGGGTTAAATCCTCTAACTGAAGTGTGTCCTTCAGGTATTAAAATATTCATTTAACATAAATCCATGTATGACATGTACAGAAGTAATAGCTCTAAAAATTTACCAAATGCCATTTAGTGAGATTAAGTAGAAGAATAGTTCCTCTTGTTTCTGCAAAACGTTCCTCAAATATTAGTAAGGAAGAAAAACCCCTTCCTCTATATTCAAGAAAAACTGAGGTGAACTTGAGGATATTTAGGAAAATAAGGACACAGTAAGAAGAATTTCAAAAGTCTTAGCCTATTTTTTTGTTTATAGAGAGATTTATAGACAGATTAGTAATTTACAGACAGATTAGTAATTGTTTATTTCTTAGGTTAGAAATTTTTTCTTTCTTCCTTTAATGGGTGTCTCTCATGTTTCACATTTTTCTTTTGCCACAGATATAAAATTAAGAAAGGAATAAAATCAACACTTCCTCACTCCCAAGTGTCACCTGTCCAAACACCCATTCAAGGGATTCTACCCTCTTTTTAGTTTTGCTTCATCCTGGCCAAGCAAAATTTTAAAAGATTCAGAAATCAGTTTCCCTGGAGAAGCCAAGTTCAGCCAAGTAAAATACGCAGGAAGAATTTAGTAAAGTAGCAGGGAAACTCTGGAGTACAACGTGCTTCAGAACCTTCAAGCTGAAGACCTACCTTTCTTTCCATTTCATAGCCCAGGTCTGTACACACGAACATGGAAGCCTGGGCAATACACCTGTCAAAAGGTGTTAGCTATCAAAAGGACCTAGCTAGTGTTACGTCCCTAATAACCACAGTTAAGGAAGGAATGCTGTTTCCTTTTATTTTCCTTTATATCGATAACATATGAAGTTTAGTTTTCTTGTACCACTACAAAAGCAGTCCTCTTTACATTGACATTTTTTTCCTGGCTTTGAGCATGAGCTAAGTTCTTCTCTTCAGCAAACTGCTCATGGCACTTTTCACCTCTGTGTTTCTCACGGTGTAAATTATAGGATTGAACATGGGAGTGAGGATTGCAAAGAACACAGTCACCAACTTGTCGACAGGGTAGGTAGCCACAGGACGCATGTAAGTGAATATGCAAGGTACGAAAAAGAGGACGACGACAGTGAAGTGGGAGCCACAGGTGGAGAGGGCTTTGCGCCGCCCTTCAGAGCTGTGGGGGGTCAGGGAGTTCAGGATGACCGCATAAGAGACAAGCAGCATGCACAGAATGAGCAAGCACATGGCTCCGCTATTGGCTGCCACCACCATGCCCAGCCGGTAGGTGTCTCTGCAGGCCAGCTTCAACAAGGGAAAGAGGTCACACATGAAGTGGTCAATGACATTGGGACCACAGAAGGGCAGGTGGATCATGAAAAGAATTTGCACAGTGGCATGCAGGATCCCTCCCATCCAGGCTACCACCACCAAGAGGCGACAGAGCTCCTGCCGCATGATGGTCATATAGTGCAGGGGCTTGCAGATGGCCACGTAGCGATCGTAGGCCATGACGATGAGGAGGATGATCTCCGAGCCTCCCAGGAAGTGCTCCACAAAGAGCTGCGTCAGACAGCCGCCCAAGGAGATGGTCCTCCTCTGGTAGAGCAGGTCGAGGAGCATTTTGGGGGTGGTGACAGAGGTGTAGGAGGCATCTATGAGGGACAAGTAAGTGAGGAAGAAGTACATGGGCGCAGACAGGGAGGGGCTGAGGGAGACGGTGATGACAACGAGCAAATTGGCCAGCACGGTAAATAAGAAAATGAACAAGAAGATAAGGAAGAGTATTTTCTGCAGGTGTGGATTCTGTGTGAGCCCCAAGAGAATAAATTCAGTAACGTTACTGGCAGGCACGGGCTGATCCATTCAGCAAGTAACGCCTTTGCAAGTCCTGAATTACCTACCAAAAGATAAAGGTACGAAGTTAATCATGCAGGGTCGTAGCCTGAATTTCACAGTAGAGAGATAGGGTGGTCAGTGTCTCTGAGTTGTATGGGGCACGACCTTGGAGTCCCTCAGCCTGCTAGCACTTTGGTGGTTCTTTTCCACTTCCAGGACGATACCGTCTGTTAGATGCCCAGTGCTCTCTGTCACCTATAAAACACTTCTAAAGCACCAGTTATAGGGTAGTTTAACAAGAAGACACGGGCTATGTACATGAGCTCTGGATTCTCCACTTTCACCACCTCGGGACTTTGTTAAATTCCTCCCTTCCCCTGCCGATCGGATCCTTCCTCTGTGTCTGTGAGCTTGTACGTTATAGCTATGAGATACACTGTGTAAGTTGTAAAGTGTAGCATAGAGGTAAAGCTTATTTCCTCTCCCAGAATTTACATTTGGAGCCACGATTTTCAATTTTAAACAGAGTCATGGTCAAGATCTATCTTGCAAGGCAATCCAAGCAAGTAGAGGGGGAAAATGTGTAAATCAGTGGGGGCACACCTTCCCTGGCACCTGCAGTACACATATTATACTCAGGGGTGTTTCCTCACTATACCTAGCATGGTGTCTGCCATCATTTCTTCAACATCTGGGACCAATTAGATGATAAATAAACGCTTGACAGAATCCCATGCTTCCTCCGTCTCCATGAATACACACACCTCCCTGGCCATAAACAAAGGAGCTCAAGTACTCTGATCTCACTCTGTTCACCCGCAGTATGTACCCACTGTATAAGAACTGTAAATAAACACTTAAAAGGAAGGGCACATCCCAGTTTAATCATGTTGGCATATTTTATAAATTGAGCCTTACAATATGTTATTGGGGAATTTGATTTTCAAGATAATTACAATGGTACTTGATATTGTTTATTCTTCAAAATTACATCCCACAGACATTTTAACATAGCCTCATTCGATAAATTCACAGTTTCAATATTGGGCTAAAACATTCTCTTACATGGGCTTTTCAATCTGTAAAAATCTATTAGATCCTTATTTTTACAGTTATAAAAATAGAAACAATAGGAATGCAGAGACTGTGAGATAAGATAAAGTACATATAACTTATAGAAAGATTAATAACCACAAATGCTTAACAACTATTTATTAGACACTTATGATGTGTAGCAATGTATGTTGCTTTGTATAATTATAAAAATGTGTGTTAAATGCCCTTTGCAATCCCTCTTCTGATATTTTATTACCGCACTGCAATAATTCATGTATCCACAAGAGAATGATCTAACCCACTTCTCTGTGTTTGTACTACATACATTCCTCTGTCTTCTCCCATTCGCGCACGGCATTCATCATTCTTGGATAAAGAATATTGCATTGTTAATAGAAGGGTAGGGAATTATCCTAATTTAGGGACATAAATTTTACAAAGAAATAGAAAGAGAACACAAATGTATAACAAAAATATTCTGTTAAAATGTTTTTTTTCTTTTCAAAGTTAAATGGACAAAGGGCTTTATATCTTATCCAAGATGAAAATCTCATACGTCTGTGAAAAGAAAGTACAGCGACTTCATTATATTCCTTTATTCTAAAGAAAACTCCCAACCAGATGTAAAAAGAGAACAGCATACATCAAGTAACAATAAGACAACACAAGTGATTTAGAAAGAACTTTAAAGGAATAAAAATCATCTGCCACTTTGACTTCACAACAATTTTGAAAAGAAAATAATTTTTAAAAGAAAAATTATTATGTAAAAATGCATTAAATGTGCTTTTGTGATGGCTGAGAAAACTTATGAACTGTGTGCAATGTCCAAAATTAGGAAGTAGAATATATAATAAAATAATTATCTGTAATAATATACATGTAAATTTAACAGAGATATGATAAAAATTTGTAATGTTATAGATGATTTTTATGTTGTAATATTAAGTGGGAAAATTTTGGAATGCAAATTTTTAATATTGACTATGATTCTAGTTTAAATATATATCAATAGTAAGCAAAAGACCTCAAAATACTTTTACTTCTGAGTTTATGGAATTATAATTGATTCTGTGCTTCTCAGAGCTCAGTGTGCTAAATAAAGACAAGCTTAGGTTGGTGGTGATGAGGGGTGATTATATGATTTTTCAGGTTCACTTAATCATGATATTCTATCTGCACGACTTCCTTTAAAAATATCTCACCTAGCAACTTGTCTGACATGGCTTCATGGCCAGGCTCCCAGGCAGCTGTTTGTTGATGAAGAAATAAATGAAAGTTATAAGATTAAAAGTGTCAAGCATCTCAATTCCAGCCAGGCTTGCTGATTTATAAATGGCACCACCAGAGGACCCATTCTCTGGAGCCTCACCACAGCCACATGTCCTGTTTGTAGGCAAATTCTGAACTTTCTTAGCTGCGGCTAATTAGACCTCAGGTGTATTTCACTGGCAGACATTGCCAACAGCCCAATTACTGCATCTTACTCAATTGAACATTAGATAGGAACTTTTATGACATTCATCTTCAATTGTTAACTTTTTCCCTAAATTCACACAAAGACAAATCATTGTGTACAGAGGAAGAAAACAGTCCTCTGCTAATGAATTTGGATATTTAATAACAAATGAACTTAGTTTATTAGTGGAGTTAGGATATATGGCATTGTATAAATTAAACTTTTAGGTAAGTAACTGCTTAAAATTTTTATCATATTTTGTTTCATTATCAACACCTCTTGCACTGGTATAACATTTTTTAAATATTCTCTTGGGGGACATAAATTAAGTGATAATTATGACACATAATATAACAGCAATATTTCATACCAGGAGTAGTTTACAGTGTTTCTTCAAGAAAGTCTTTCTCATAACAAATTCTAAAACTAGATTAATAGCATGATGATGAAAACAGCTACATTTTTCAACTATCTTCATAGTTGTAAGATACATTTTTCAGTCATTCAAATGTAATCTATTTTTTTATTTTAAAAAACAGAAGAATGAAAACATATTAACAAACACACATACATTTACAAAATTACACAAGAACAGTACAGGCAATACTGAAATTCAGACAAGGTAATAGGAAACTAACAATGGTTGCTGTATTACATACTGATTTCTTCAAAGTGGTTACTCAGGAAAATGCGCATAGACACGTAAGAGTGATCAAATAATTAATCATTAACTGTTTCTAATGTGATCTAATAATATCTCTAAGAAATGGAAAAAATAGGCATCAATATTACCTCTTTCTAACATGAAAAACTAAATCATAGAATCAGGACATCTCCCACCAATGTAGAATAAAAGCCAAGCCTCCTGAGTCCTGGGCCAGGGTCCTCATGTCTAGATTGCTGGGTGTTAACTAATGTGTCAAGACACTTTTATGAGGTCACCAATTGTGAGGTGCACTGGAATTGTCTACTAAAAGAAACACATACCAATATTTGAAATTATTTTTAAAAGCAAACTGAATTCAATTAAATTTAGGAATATTCCTAAATATAACAAGTTCATTGACACACATTTAAATATATTTTCTAAAGTAAAAAAAGAGAAAGACATCGTAACAACTCCGAGTTGACTTTATAGACTGTAGTCATTTCAAGCAGCATGGCAGAAAACAGTTTAACAGAACTGAGATCACGTGATAAACAATTTGTCTGACAGTTGAATATTGTAGTGCTATGATAATGTTTGTTTTACTTTTCTCATTGGTAAAATACCCAACACACAAAGTTAAAAGAGCAGAGGTTTATTTTGGCTCACACTTTACAGAGTTTTAGTCAGCTGGCTCCAAGGCAGGGTAGCATGGAAGAGGAACATCATAGAGGAGAAATAGTCCATGGTAGGGCAGGCAGAAGACAGAAAGCAAGCAGCAGCAGCAGCAGCAGCAGCAGCAGCAGCAGCAGCAAGCCTGGCTTCTTTCTGTCCCTTTCTATTCCACCCAGACTAGAAGTATATTGATTGGTGTCACCCATACCCAGGATGGGGCTTTCATTATCCACAACCTTAATCTCAGCATCACACCCTAATACACATTTACAAACCCTGATCCAGCCACCTTCAAAAGTCCTCACCTAAAAGCATATGATGCCTTGAGGGGACATCTAGATACAACCAAAATATCTTTCAATTCTAGAATGAATACAGAGCATATTGATCATGTGTTTAAACATGTATTGTGTCCAAGCCAATAACAGATTAAATCCACCCATGATGGCATATTCCCTGTTCATCCAACCTCTACTGAAATAACTTGAATGATAAGACTATAATTCTTTTTAATCCCCACAGCTGTCTAGGTGAGCTCCCCATAATCTAGACTAACATAACCTGGAAAGAGATAAAGTCCAAAATACTGAGAGTTGTCCATGGAGGAAAGTTTTCAAAAGAAGAATCTTTGAAGCATAAGAGGAAGTTTGTTTTCAGAATACAAGAAGAAGGGAGTGAAAAACTTCTAGCAAGACATAAATGCATATTTCAAAGTGAAAGAGTAAACGAGAATGAAAGAAAGAGAAATTAAATATGAATCTGATCACAGTTGGGAAGAAACCAGTGGAAGTACTAATATCATGTTTGACAGGTTCATGACCTTAGAAAACAAACAAAAAATAATGGGTACTTCCCAAAGTGACCTATGGACAGTGTCATGCCCTTTAGTCATCAGAGAAATACTTCTCAAAGTAAGGAAATGCTCAAACACAGACCTTATGTTGTCTTAGTCCAATCCAAAAATCTTGTCAGCCCAGCATGGTGGAGCATGCCTGTAATCCCAGCACTTGGGAGACTGAGGCAGGAGGATCATTGCAAGTTCAAGGCCAGCCTGAACTGCATAGCAAGACCCTGTCTCAAAAAGACAAAAAAAAATCTTGTCATGCCAGGAAAACATCTCCTAAATTGTTCAAAAAGTGAAAAATTTAGAGATGCATTTGATTGCTGATTTACTACAGGTAATTTCTCAAAACTTTTCCAAATTTGACTTTCCTAATTGAAATAAAAGTAAATATAACAATATTTAAGGTAATACAAATATATTTTGCAAATGAGAAGAGGCTCAAGAGCTGGAAGAGGAGTAGGGAGGGGAAAGAGATGCAACAGAATTAAAATGCATTATGTACATGTACCAGGTTGCCACGAAAAAAGCAAACTTTAAGTACTGAGAACACATACTAATAAAAATTTTAAAAATTTAGGAAGAATCACAGAACCATAGGCCTTCTAAATGACCTAGATAAAATGTTAGCAGAAATAAGGTGAACTATTTAAGATCCTAGAATGATCCCCTGTTCTGCTGATCCAGAAGTTGATTATGATTCTATAATTATAATATATCTGCTAAATATTGTTACATCACAGGGCTCACTGACTTCTTCAATAAAGCATGTGGTAGTCATTGCAGAGGGTGGAGGTTGGATCTTTCTGTATGTGGAAATACACTACATCTTTTTAATGATACAAAAGTTATCCACAAGAAAATTTCGTAATTAAGGTAAGCTGTTTAACTGAGAAATAATTTTTGTTCAAATATGGAATGATTATTTTTTCTTTCTTTATACCATATAAGCCATCTCCTTTTTCTTTTCCTTTTCTTTCTTTTTTATTTTAGAAGTAAAAGAATGAAAGCATATTAAGAAATGGACAACCATTTACAAAGTAGCACAAGAATAATACAAGCAATACTGAATTACACACAAGGTGACAGGGAATTAACCATGGTTGTTGTGTTACATATTGATAACTTCAAAGTGGTTACTCAGGAAAAAAAAATATAGACATACAAGATTGATCAAAATAATTAATCATTAACTGTTCCTTTCAAAAAAGTGATAGAAGTCAGTAGTACATCTCTGTTAGCTATCCTGTGTATACATACGTACATAATTTTACCCTTCTTTCTTTTCTCTTTTCACACATAAGGAAAATAGAAAGAGAACAAATAAATAGCCTAATGCTGCACCTCAAACTCAGAAAAAGAACAAGTCAAGCCCAAAGCCCAAAGACGGGAGAAGATTATAAAGATCAGGGCAGAATTTAATGCAGTTGAGATGAAGAAAACTCTACATAAAATAAATGAATCAAAGAATTGGTTCTTTGAAAGAATAAATCAAATTGATAAACCCCTAGACAAACTTCTCAAAAGAAGAAAAGAAAAAACTCGAATTCATGCAGTAAGGAAAAAAAGGATGAAATCACTACAGATCCTACAGAAATTCAAAAGATCATTAATACCTACTTTGGAAATCTTTTCTTTTAAGTTTTCTTAGTCTAGGTTTAGCGTACACAATGGTTACACTCACTGTAGGAAACTGATACATTTACATAACATATCTCAGTTCTTATTTGCCCTCCCCTTTCACTCCCTTTTCTTTTTGCCAGCAACAGATTCATTTATTTATCTTATAAGTCCTTATAAAGTTAATTATCATACATACAGATTCACACCCAGACTAATAGGCCAAAATAACATAAAATACATAAGACACTTGTATTAAATCAAGGTGCACTTTTGTATACCTTGTCCATGATGAATTAGAGTAGCTTTTCTCTCTCTTTTTTTCTATTATCTGTCTTTCATTTGAACTTTACTTATACTGAGCCCCTTTTAAAGAGAAATCATGCAATATTCAAGTTTGTGTAATTTACTCCACTTAACATTACGGTCTCAAAGTGCATCCGTTTTTCTGCAAATGATTCAAGTTAATCCTTCTTTATGGCAGAGAAATGTTCCCTTGTATATCATAGCACATATCCTTTATTCACTGTTCTATTGATGAACAAATAGCCTGCTCCCAAGATTTAGCTATTATGAATTGTGCTGCTATAATCACAGGTATACATACACTAATCACTGTGGTATGAGGTCTCTAACTCTGGGGAACATTCCTGGAAAGGAAATAGCTAGGTCAAATGGAATTGTTATCCTTTAGTTTTTGAGGAATCCTCCATACTGATTTCCATAGCGATTGTACCAATTTACACTCCCAACAATGGTGGAGAAAGCCTTCTTTTTCCACACAGCCTCACCAACATTTGTTATTGGTTGATTTCTTGATGATAGCCATTTTGTCTGGAGTGAGATGAAATCTCTGTGTTGTCTTAATTTGCATTTCTTGAATGGCCAACAATGTTGCACGTTTTTTCGTGTATTTATTGATCATTTGTACTTCTTTATCTGCTGTGTCAGATACTCCTTTTTTAATTGGGTCCTTAAATTTGGGGGTCTAATATTTTTGAATTCTTTATATATTCCAGATAGTTGTCCTTTTTCAGAGGAGTAGCCGGCAAAAATTTTTCCCAATCTGTAGGTTCCCTCCATTGGTGGTTTCCTTTGCTGTGCAGAAGCTATAATCTGATGTGATCCCCTTTGTTAATTATTGATATTGTTTTTTAGACAGCCAGGGTTCTGTTTGGAAGGTTTTAGTCTACACCTGTGTCTTCAAGTGTCTTACCTATTTTGCCTTCCAACATATTTTTTCTGTTATAATGTTCAGATATTTGCTCCATTTTGATTTTACTTTGGTGCATGGTAAGAGATGTGGGTTTAGGTTCATTCTTCAGCATGTGAATAGCCAGTTTTCCCAGTGCCATTTGTTATAGAAGCCATCTTGCCTCCACAAAAAGAATTGGGCCTCTGTCAAATATAACATGGATGAGTGTGCCTGGAGTTGTTTTTGCACCCTGTATCTGTTCCATTGATCCACAAATCTGTTTCTTGCCAATACCATGCTATTTTTATCACTGTAGCTTTGTGGTATATCTTGAAGTCAAGGATCATGATGTTTGCTGCCTTGCCCTTGTTGCTCAGAATTGCTTTGGCTCTTCTGGTTTGAATTTTATGAACTTTAAGACTGCTTTCTCTAGTTCTGTGGTGAAATGCTATTGGCATTTTGATTGAGATTGTGTTAAATCTGTGCAACAGTTTGGAAGTATGGCCATTTTGACTATATTGATTCTGCCTATCCAGGAACAGGGGATATCTTTCCATTTCCTCATATTCATTTTGATCTTTTTTCACAGTGCTGTAGTTTTCGTTGTTGAGGTCTTTCACTTCCTTGGTTAGGTTAATTCCTAAGTATTTCATTTTTCTTGATGTTATTGTGAAAAGTGTTATTTCTCTAATTTCTCCTGGTAAGTTTGTTCTTGGTGTAAGGAACTCTACTGATTACTGAGCACTGACTTTGTATCCTGCTTACTACTGAACTTAGTCTATTTTTTTTCTTTTTCTCTTTTTTCCTCTTTTCTTTCTTTTTCCTTCATTTCCTTTTTTTTAGTTGTAAGGAGAGGTTCATTTCGGCTCACAGTTCAGGTGGTTCACAATTGGGAACAGCATCTGGTAATAGTCTTTTTTCTGGTAATGCCCAAACAAGAAGCAGGGTTTCAGACTGCTAAACAATGTGAGTGTATATATATTGGTGTGTAAGGGGGCGTGTACAAAGCAATTTTCAAAGAAGGTACTAGATTCATGCAACTAAGAATGCTAGTAATATCAATATTTATTATTCTGATGAATATTATTTTCATGTTATTAATATTTTCCTTAATTGTGAATATTTCTAGTTGTGTTACTTTAAAAATTGTATTTCTCATTAAAGATTTTTAATCTAATTTTTTGACCTACAACCAAAAATATTTTATAAATCCAACCATAATCAAATACGAGGCCCAAACAATTTTATGTAATAAAAACACCAAAGGGTGTGGAATAATGACAGTATTTTTGTTCAAGGTTGATGTACATGTTCCAAATTAGTCATTTAACTTTTCTGACTCTTTTTATTCTGTACATTTAGAACAGTGGATTTCAGTGTTGTGAGGTGGTTGAGATCTTGAGGGGAAAATAAAATTTCACAAGTTTAAATTAAATTCTAAAATCACTGGACTGCTTTTACTCAACAAACGAAAAGCTCAATATACTTTTTTAAACATTCAAGTGCTTTATGTCTGTTTCAAAACAATTCTTCATCAACTCACTTTACAAATCTATTGTGAACAGCAACTTTTGTATAATGAATGATTAACATGAGTCAAAAAAATCTAGAAGTTGTGACTCCAGTATTAGCAATTTGATGCTATTTATTCAGTTTTGTAAATTTATTTGCTTCTGCATATTCCAGCAAGACAATACCATCTCATATATTCAGCTTTGTGCTGCCTCCTGGGATCTAAGCATAGGGTGTAATCTAGAAGAAAGACACTTAAATGGGTATCTGTCTGTTAATATGTTTTCCTTCTTTTATTTTTTAAAATTAAAAAAAAAAGAAAGACACTTACCAGTGATGCAATTTAGAAGAAAGACACTTACCAATGATGTAATCTAGAAGAAAGACACTTATGGTTAAGATTACAACCCATGCTTAGATGCCAGGAGACAGCCCAGACTTCTGAATACCCACTGCTTGTAAACACAGGCATGTTGTGTGAGTCTGCAATCTAAAAAGAGAATTTTTCAATTTCTACAAAACAGGAAACATTCTGACCTAAATGCTGTCTTTCTATAAAATAAAAAAAGTAGTGTGTGATGCTATCCACAAAAAGAGTATCACATTTGACTCTAAAATGCAAATTGGACACTAACTTGTCTCTGATGTTGGGCTGGCTACTTAACATATTTGAATTTTATTTTCCTTCATCTATACCACAGGAATGACCATAATAACTACCTTGGAAAAGTGTTTTAAAGTCAAGTAAGAGATCTAAGAAAAGATTTAAAGTACAATAATTTTAACTTCCCCATGGTTCCAGGGTCAATCATGGTCCAGAAATGCCAAATGGAAAATTGCAGAAACAATTTATAAATTGTATGTCATTTTTAGTAGTGTAAAGAAACCTCACACCATGTCTGTCTGTCTGGCTTGTGAAATGAATTATCCCTTTGTCCAGCATGACCACATGGCCTAAATTACGAGGTCAGTTGTCACGGTATCACACAAAATATTTAAGATCAAGTAAACAATAATGGCTTATAATGGCTTTACAGTACAATATGTATTACAATATATTGCTATTTTTTTTATTACTGTTAATCACTTAAATTATAAATTGAATTTTGTTATAGGTATGTATATAGAGGACAAATGTAGTATATACACATGGTTAGTGATATCCACAGTCTCAGTAACACCTACCCATTGAGGAATGATCCATGGATAAGGAGGACAACTGTGATAAAATATGAAATTGTAAAGATCATGAAACAAATAAAATTTCATGAAATTATTCACTACCTAAACTTCTATTCCTGTTTAATAACATTCTAATGGCATTTTTTACCTCTGCATTCCTTGCTGTGTAGATGATAGAGTTTAACATGGGAGTGACCAGAGTATAAAATATTGTCACTGCTTTATCCATGGGAAAGGTGGCCACTGGTCTCAGATACATGAAAATACATGGTACAAAGAACAAGATGACCACTGAGATGTGGGAGCCACAGGTGGAGAGGGCCTTTTTCCTCCCTGCAGAGCTGTGAGTCTTCAAAGAGCACAGGATGACCACGTAAGATAGCAACAACATGACAAAGGTGATCGTAGCCATTCCCCCACCATTGACAGCAACCAAGAAACCAAGAAGGAAAGTGTCAGTGCAGGCAAGCTGTATCAGGGGGAAGATGTCACACATGAAATGATCTATCCTGTTGGGGCCACAGAATGGGAGCCAGAACGTGACTAGAATCTGTCCAAAGGAGTGGAGAAAGCCCACGGTCCAACACACCCCCACCAGGGTGCAGCGCACAGTGTAGTTCATCCTGGTCACATAGTGCAGAGGTCTACAGATGGCCACATAACGATCATAGGCCATGACCACAAGGAGGACGATCTCCGAACCTCCAAAGAAATGTTCAAGGAAAAGTTGTGTCATGCAGACATTGAATGAGACAGCTTTTGTGTCAGAAAGAAGGTCGGTTAGCATTTTAGGGATTATAGCAGAAGAATAGCACGCATCTATCAGAGATAAGAATGCCAGGAAAAAATACATTGGGGAGTCCAGAGTCCGGCTGCAGATTATAGTAGTGACAATGAGCAGGTTTTCTGTGACAGTGACAATGTAGGTGATAAGTAACACAAAAAATAGAATTTTCTGCATCTTAGAATTCTGTGTCAGCCCCATTAGAATGAATTCAGTCACGTTCATTTTGTTTTCTTCCATTTCAGTGCTAATTCTCAATTCACAGGTAGTTGAGTAACCTACAAAAATAAAATCCTTCATAGCAAATATGAGGAATGTACTTTGAGTTATCAGGTAAGCCAAAAGAATTTAGTAAAATAAAAAAAATAAAAATAATAAAAAATAATTTAGTAAAATAAGCTACTTTCATTCCCAAAGAGAAGAAACACAGTACATTTTCTATTTTATGGAAGGAGAGTAGATGAACCCTTTGCAGCTATTTCAACTTCTTACAAGGCTGCAGGAAACCCCTTTAGGACACTAGTGACAAGCTTCACTTGTACTCACTGTTGATGTATGAAATCTACTTAGACATTCTTTAATAAGCTGCTAAGAAACTGTACTATAGGAGGGGAGGTAAAGGGGAAGAAGAAAAGGAATCAAGAGGCATTGATCAAACAATTAAAGATAATATTGTGTCTTCATTGTTGTTATTTTGTTATTGAATTTTCCTCTTTAAAATAAAATAGAGGCATTATGTACCTGCACCAACTCCCCGCAAGGAGTGGAAACAATGTGAACTGCAAACATCTGCTAATTTGAAAAACAAAAAAAGAATTTAGTTCAAAGCCTTCTGCTTTGTAAAGCATTCTATAAATATTAATTAAGTGAATACTTAAGTTAGGAGAGTCTTTAGCTTCTCTGCTGTCTTTTCTTTTTCTAGCTAATTCTGAAACAGAGTGTCCGTGACCCATGCCCTGTCCTTTAGAAGTCCCTTATGCCTCACCCTGGGGGCCGTCCCCAAGGTCAGGTTCAACACCCTCCCCTGGCCATGTGCAGTGACAGCGGAATGTAGGGGGAGGGGCTGTCAGGTGCTTATTTGGCTGGCTCTCTCCTACAGTTTGGAGGAAGGCGTGCAGACTTCTGCTCTGTGGGGTGCACCTTTAAAGCTTGCAGGCCTCTCCTGTTCCCACACCCACCCTCTCCCCACGCAGTCTCAGGCCAGGTGGTGGCAGTGCCGCCTGCTGTTGCTGCCCCTGAGGTGCTTATCAGCCCTCATTAGTTTCTTCTAACTCTAACAAGTTTACCTGGCAAGGGACCACAATCCAACTCTAAATTTTCATTTCGTTTCTTTAGTCCTTCTTGGCAAGGCTCCAAGGATGCAGAAAATTTGTATTTTTTCTTGGTAAGCAAATAGAAGTAAATGAGAAAGTGGTTTTCTTTCTCATGTATGTATTTTATTCAGTAGTCATTTACACTTCTTTTGAGGTAGAGCTGGTAAATAAATCTACTACTTATCAGGAAAGACTATACAGTGTAATGATAAAGGTCTTTTCTTTTTTTTTTTCTTGTTACCAGGACCCTGCACTTGCCAAGCAGGCGCTTATGCCTCTGAGCTGTAACCCCAGCTGAAAGTCTTTTCTGAACCCAGGCATGGTGCTGCACGCCTCTAACTTCAGTGATCTCGGAGGCTGAGGCAAGAGTTCAAGCTCAGCCTGGGCAATTTAGGGACTTAGCCAGACCATATCTCAGAAAGGTTATATATAAACGTTACATATATATTGGGTTGGGGACATACCTCAGTGAGAAGGCCCCCAAAGCTGTGAAAATATTTTTGAAAAGTCTCTGTTGTGAAGGACGCAGTATCACAACAAGATGACTGCAAGTGGCGGTCAAAAGACACGGTGAATATTTACATTTAAAAACCATATTGTTATAGCTGACATTTGACCATTAATCTCCTTCCAAATTCTTCTCCAACTTCAGACACACTTACCCCATCATTCTCGCCACTTTCTGAAGTACTTCTGGAAGACTTCTTTCATGAGTATCTCTATAAGATTTAATCAAAGATACAGTGAAATTCCCTGCTTGAGTGCCATCCAGTGGAAAAATGGGCTTATAAAACCATTACACTGTGTCCTCATCCACCTTATTCACTGAGGCTGCCACTGTGAGACTTTCAGCTGTACTCTAAAGTCAAAATGAGGTTTCACAGGAAACAATTTGAGTCAATTCAGTATACGGAGACAACCCCAGCAGTACACCTAGACATTCACGAAAGAAGACCTCCAGAACCGAATTGAAAGTGCCTGGGACAATGGGATGTGTGTGTTCTAAGCTGAGGTGGGGGGTGTACTTTGAGAGGGATTGGTGGCAATGAGTCATTAAATGTGTATGTTTTGTAAATGTAAACATTCACCGTATTTGTAGATCACTTGTAGATCTATGTTCCTTCGGTCAGTGCATGCTCTAGGGCACAGTTTTAGGGTTATGGAACTCTTGGAGTCAACAAAGACTGTGCCTTTCTCCCTCGTGAAGCTATTTCACAAATCTTTTAAGTTGTAGAAAACAGACAATACTGTAAACAATCATCACTTACAGAACTATAAATGTTGCCTGGTGGAAATTCTATTAATTTTCCTGAGCATTGTATATAAAGCATTTGAGTTTATTTGTACATTCATGACACATCCCCAGTTGAACAACATAAATGTGGTCCATTGTGTTCTCCTTTGGACAGGACAGGGTTTTACTCTCCTATCACTCATTAGTGAGCTAAGTAAAATCTTTGTCACGTGTTCATTTTATAGTTGTATCAAACTCGTGACTTTGCTGTATATTTTGAAAATTCTTTTGAATTTTTATGTTAAAATTACTAATAAAAGTTTCAAGAATTATAAAGATACGCATAAACCTATCCATGTGCATTATTTCACCATGAACTGTTCCATTTTACTGTATTTGGGACTTATTTCTATTTGAAATCAAATGGAAACAAAATATGAAATTAAAGAACATTTTTAAGAATTTCCCAACTCTAATCTCACCCAGAGTTAGCTAATGTGAGAATTTTTACCAATCAAAATAAAACCAAGGTCTTGAACAAGTTCTATCAACTTCGCCACAGGGTAGGTGTTTGTGTGTGTGTGTGTGTGTGTGTGTGTGTGTATGCACGTGGGAGTTACTTAAAGGTGCTATACAGATTCAAAGTCTGTTTAATAATTCATACATAAAGTCATTTCCAAATTTTTGTTATTTACTTATACATATACCTGGCACACTACAAAGTAGAGAAATAGGAGTAAAGAATATGGATAAAGCCTACTTTAGGTCCTTTAGGACAGAAGACAATAAGTTTTCAAAAAAGGAACTGTACAGTGTGGCAAATTGTAATGGATGTATGTGACTGAAGAGAGGGATCATTTTGTGTGAGGCTGTCACACAAAAGAGAAGGCATCATTGAGACTACTAATACCAAGAAAGGAACAGGGTAAGAAAAGAGAAGCAAGAAGATACCTGCAGGATGACTTCAGATACAAATGCCAGCAAGGGAGAATCCCCGGAGAGGCAGAGGAGCCAGGATCAGTGACCAAGGGGCTGCAGCTGGGATGGAAAGCCAGGACCACTTGATGCCAGATCTCACAGGGCTTTGTAGACCATCATGAGGGCTGTGACTCTATTCTAAGTGGTAATACCTCAAAGCAGAACAGCATGATCTGACTCAACCATCCATTGGATCATGTGGGCCACTGCACGAAGGACAGGGTTCAGGGGAGCAAAGCAGTCATGGGGACACTACTTAGGGTGTCATTGTGACATCTGAAAGGAAAAGTAGTTTGGACCAGGGTAGTCATGGGGACATAAATGGACTGTGAAGGAAAACCCAGCTAACTTACTTGACATGAATCGTAACCCTTAAGCAAATTCTGGCTCAGTTAGTTGTGGCTTCTACCCGATAAATTGCCTCGATGTATGACAATGCTTTCTTCAAGTGATATGGTCAAAAACTTAGGAGTAATTTTTACTCTTTTCTCTGTTTACACTCCATCTCAAGCAGATTAAAATAACCCCTCAGTCAGCTGCCTACTTTATACCCATCCTGTGTCTGTTAGTGAGTCAGTCTCCCTTTCATTCTCACAGTACCTTCCCTAGCCAGGATCTTGTTTAGAGAAAATATTCAAGAATTCCAGAGATTACCTACATTTTCTCAAATTATTACCTTTGCTACTTATTTCACTGTAAAGCCAAAATTTCAGCCTACTAAGTAACATTGAACAACTTCCTTATCCTGTCTGGTTAGTTCCATCAGTGAAATGAGGCTAGGAATTCTCTGACTCAATGTGGATGTAATTTGTATCAATCTCTTTAGAGAAGTAAGCCATCCTTATGAGCTCTGAAGGAGGATGGCATGAGACCATGAGACCATAACTGTTAAAGTCGCCGTGTTCTTTCTACAAGGCAAAAGTAATGAATTATGTCACAGCATACCACTTTTCTCTATCATGTATCTGCATGGTTTTTAGCCAACCAACATCATTTTCTTTTCGTCTTTACCAAAGTGACTGTAAGCTGTTTAACACACATATACTATACGTACACCACTCATTAGACTTGGTGGTTAATTTTGACATTGGGCACACAGAAAGGCAGTGTTTGTCACCCATTATTTTCACATTCCTAAAATGTATTTAAAGTATAATTTTTTGGCATAAACATATTCACTTACAAGCTTTGTCATTCGCTGACACAGTTCTCTTTAAATACATTGTCTTCTACTTTTCTGCACAACAACGTCTGTTCATTTTACACACAAAAAAATGATCCTTATATGGGGCTGGGGATTTAGCTCAGTGGCAAAGCGCCTGCCTGGCAAGCGCAAAGTCATGAGTTCGGTTCCTGGTACCGTAGGGGGGAAAAAAAAAATGATCCTTATGTGTCCAGTTCTTTCCACCACCCTGTAATACTGCTAGCTTTTTTATGCTGGAGATAAAGAGAATAGAGCATTCTAATTGCCTAGTCTGCAAGCATCCACCCGGGTTCCTTTCCCATCACTTCAAAATGCAAATGACTGGTTCAGATGGGAAAATTCAGGCACCAAGAGGTGAAATCTTGTGCTCTAGGATGTGACATTAGCAAAAAGCAGGCCTGAAAGGCATAATCCAAGTCTACCTGGCCTCGGGTCTTCATCTTGGCTCTGCAGTGCCTCCCACATAATAACTTACCTGAATAGTATTCTCTGTCTTTAATGTTGCCCTGCA